AAGTTTGACGCGTCTAAGGCATAGCCTCCTCTTCTCACCCTCGATCAAGAAGACGAAAGGAGGTTTTGATCACCAGGTGGAGTCCTCATGATACCAGAAATGATTTTCTTGTTACCATATAAGCTCTTTTCTACTTTTACGTGGCCTTTCTTCTGTCGCTGGTACAGGGTACTCGGTAAAACGGACATCTACAGTTGGTCTGTTCCTTTCTTTGATCCCTTTATTTGACTGTTAATAAGACGGACATCAGCCTTAGACAAACAGTCAGTGCGCGTCCCAAAGGTTCCTCTTAGAAACAGTTTACTGGTGCCTGATGATTTTACTATTGTTAATCGGGTTTTGGTGTTCTTGTTTTTTTGTACTGGTTAAGCAGTTCTGAACCTAGTTAGGGGAAGCTTCTATACTTAAATGATAATACGTTATTTAATTAGCAGGAGAATGTACATTTTGTATGCATTTTTAAAACTGACCAGACTCATTGTCTCGACTGGCAGCTTATACCTCACATTCGATAATTAACCTTAAAGGTCTGAATACTAGGTATAAAGCACTTAGCAAATAAGAAGGAAAAGCGTCTAAGCGTATCGTCTTATAAGGAAGTAAATGTATTGAGATACTGGTCAACCACCCTTAGAAAAGTTGCCCGAACAGACGAATTCAGCTCACCAGACTAACGTAAGCCGGCCGTCTCTTCACTCTCATTTTCGCTCTAACAGGTTAACTTTATCGCGATGGGACTTCATACTTAGTTTCCATTAATGTTAGACACTCAGGAGACCTGAAAACAGCATAAGAGAGCTTTAGCAGTGTTAGTGTCATCAGTCAACTATTTTCTCTGGTCACGCAGAAAACTAGCATATAATATATGACCAAAAATAAAGAATCAAGAAGACCTTTTAAATGTGGAAAACAACTGTTTGAGTTAGTTTTCTAATTTTTAGGTCTCCTCTGCTAATTCTTGGGAGCGTGATTCCTTCAGTATAAAGACTGCTTAATTGTCGATTAAGCGGTATTAAGATGTACCTGGGTCAAAAAATTAAAGCTGTAGCTAAGTCTTAGTGGAAAAAGGAGACTCATTACCGGGAATAATAAAAAAATATTTACTATTTGATAGGTAACTTTTCTTTGGATACCGGGCGCCGTAAAATAATTAATTTTATCGTTTTTAGTGAAGAAATCTCACGCTTTTAGAAGGCAACCGGCAGTATTGAAAGCCATAATTTACTATTTATTCAAAAACTGGTATAAGATGTCAACAAGCGAAAATAAAAACTGTCTGACAAGTGGTTAATAAAATGATTTACTTCTGCGTTTTTACTTTTTCACTACATGTGCGGCTAGATTCCTCGAATTTCGTGTACATGTTGGATTGAAAAGATTGAAACTGGATTTCCAATGTATGCAAGGTCTTCAGTAGCAGTAAGAAGACGTTAACGCATACATATGTTAATTTAAAGCTTCACAGCCTGCAGTTTATTCATTGACTTGCGGAAGTTGGAATGCAGGGTCTCACTAAGGGGCGTAGCCTGCGTAGCAGGCGTCAAAAGGGGAAGGGAAAGCAAAAATTCTGGGGCGCGAGGATGTTGAAAACGGAAACCTTTTCCCCTCTTTTCCCTTTTCCCCCCTCCTCGTGCTCCCCTCGCGCTGTCACGCCCCCAATTCCCGCGTCCCCGTTCCGGTTTTAAAGCTGCCACACAAGCTACTTTTAGGGGATTAATCCTAATTAAGCCCTTCTACTGTTAAGTGGTTTCTAACAGGTTGCAGTTGTGTACATTGGCTTGCACCTCACATAGAGTGCAAGCAAATGTTACGACATATCCCTTTAAGAACAACAAAAAATCAGAAGATTTGAAAGGGAGTTAAATGCTCATTTAAGGTACTGAAAATTTGATGCGCTTTACCTCAAGTCCACTAACAGCCTTTACTGACTGTTGAAAAATGGGGCAGAAAGAAAATTTTCCTTAACGTTCCGTTAAAGGTATTGCATGAGACGAGCGGACGCTTTCTGAACATAATCCATACTTGACGCGCCAAGATGGTACGTGTCATTACAAAAAACCCTTAACATTTACTTGGCTTTTTGAAAGACGGTGCAGTTTGCCCAGTAAAAGAAGCATCATCAACTATTTAATAAGATAAATCACGAACAAAGTGCAATAATATCTTTAAATGATCAAGAAAACAGAAGATGGTTGAAAGGACAAAGGACCTTTCAATATAGAGCAACCTCTCTCTGGAATGAGTTGCAGCCTGCACTCAAACTTAGCCCATCCGTGACGGAATTCAAGTGTTCACTCAGGCAAAAGCTTCTTAATGACTTCTTTATTTAATTAATTTAATTAATTTTATTGACCTTTGTCTTCTTTTATCATTGTTATATTCTTATTGTCATGTACTTGGTTCATAATTTTGTAATGTAAAATTGACTCTGAAAAGCCTCGTGGGGACGAGCCAATAAAGTATGTATGTATGTATTATAAGTGACAGTTTGCAGCGTCTCTCTTTTTTTGAGAAAACGTAATGTGTTCTAAAACGCTCGACGTGGCATACCGCACATATTAAAACCTCAAGAAAACTCAGCTCTTAGTTACATCCTAGGTTTGACCAGCATGGCTGCCCTTATACAGGGAATACAAAGTTTAGGAAACAGACTGTAAACTATCGTTGCCATTGCAATCAGTAATTACATTAAATCTGGCGGAATATGCATGAAACTGCTTTTGCGGAAAGAATTGCGTTCAAAAGACATTTGATAATCTGAACTATTGTTGCAGACAGGGCAGTTTCGCACTGCACATTGGAACAAAGCGAAACTCCATTTCTATTAAATTTACATTGTATATGAAATCAGTCAAAAAGTATCATTTTTAGTTCTCTTTAGTTTGCATGTAGTGATGAAATACTTTTGGTAAATTAAAAGTCACCGGTCTTGCTTTTGTTGTTCTTATTGTTTATTTATGCTTTAAGTTAACTATAAGCTAACAATATAATAAAGTACACGCCCGTACCTGTTGTGATACCGTACGGCGTTAAAAGCCAAAGAAAATGTTGTTTTTGTAATATGCAGCATGTAGCGCCTTTATTACCCAATCAGCTTGTTTTTACTTGGTAAGAAGATTTAGGATATTTGGATCCTTGATTTCTTAAACGCGAGCGCATAAAACAAAACCCCCACCTGTCGACAGGCCATTACCTCTAGATTAAGCAGCAGGATGGACCTCAGGAAATTTACCGTTTTTGCCTTTCTCCTGAACCTGGGGATTCTCGCTACAACTGTAGAAGGTACACAGCTCTTCTTTTCATCCTAGGCCATTGCAATCTACATGTGTAGGTTATTATACCTGACAAAAATTTTACTTTTTTCTAGTAGCAATTGTTTTAAAATTCTTAAACTTCAATCTTTTGAAACCCAATTCAACTCGGTCGAAGACTTTTTCTTTCATTTACATTTTTTTAGAGAATATACTTGTTCTAGATCTCAACTAAAGCAAGAATGTCTGGAGGTTAGATCATTTGAATTCATCATAGTGATTTGTTTACAAATGTGGGGATGTGGGGGACACAACCGCCACTCCATCTCGCTTTTAAGTAACTAAATCAGTGCTCGTGGAGCTGACGAATTGTTAAGTCGATTCGATGTATTTATCATCTCGTTATTTGCAATCCTCTACATGCAATGTTCTCAAGAAAATGACCATATTTTAAAGCTCTCGGTCGATTTATTTGTTTGCCGCAACTCTGTCAAAATATCTACAAATAGAACAGTCAGCTCTGTAGTCTGGTTACCACTCGGATCGAAGAAACACGAAAAAAAAGGGATAAACATTTATTCGATGTTTCATATCCTTACATGACTTGGCAGTTTTAAGATTTCAAAACCTAACATTTTGCCAGTGGGGTGAGGACTTTGGAAAAACCTGTCCTTAAGACTCGCATCCACACCCACATTCTGACGCAATGCGGAAGTTTTAATATATTTCAAACTTTTGAAGGAATAGTAATGATTTCTGTCAGTTCAGCGACCCGCATTTAACAGAAAACCTTAAACAAGTTTTATATTTTTGATTTTTATTTTTCCGAGTCAGTCATTCCCATGATTCCTGTACTTCTCGGTACCGATCTACAGATTTCCTACTTCGTAGAGTTCTGTTTTAATCCAATCAACGATAACTGTCATTGCCCCTTACCCTTTTGGTGCAAGGAACCGAGATCACCTGATAATGTTTGTGCACGTGTAACTTGACCAGAATCAAGACATTTAGATGTTCTTTCAAGTGGAATAACTGAAAATAAACAAAAAAGTAGCTAGAAGAGTCGACTGAAATGAGACTTGAAGCAATTCTAAAGAGAATTGCCAAGCAATTTGAGTTTGCCAGTAGGATGGACTTCAGAATAGAGTGAAACATTGAAGCTTGATGACAACAACAAACCAAAACAAAGACAACCTCAATAGGATGGTATCTAAGTGTGCATTTTTTTTTTCTTTAATTTGATATTACTTTCCTAAAATAATTTGTCGCCAAATGTCTCAGCGTGAGTCTATATCGAGCTGGCCAGATATCTGGCCAGTTATGCAATTCACCAACTTATCCATTACCATTTTATGATTAAGAGCATTTGGGGTATTTTAAATGTAAAATATCTGAAGTATATATCGTAAAATTCGTCTTCCTGAATTTTCTTCACATAACGACAATCAAACATTTTATGATACAAATGAAAAGCGTTCTTTTAGCGCATTTTTCGGTCCTGTGCATCTCGACCGTAGACTGAGTCGTTTATTGTTTTTTTTTTTTGTATTCAAATAGAACTAGGCCAAGTTACGTTTTTACCGCGCTATTTATATGAAAAATGAAATTCACAAAATCCTTGAAAAAAAAGGTTTATAATTCACAAAAATAAATAAAGAGGAACCGATCAGTTCCATCATTTCAACATCTAAAACACAGCCGCTCTGAGACACGCCCCTCGCCTCTCCTTAATTTCAAGCCACACTCTACTCATTTTCAGGTATTTCCTACCAAGTTGGAAAACTAAACGCATCAGAGACACGTCAAGGATGGAATTGCAACAGCGGATGTGAGGCGCCACAACATTGTACACTGCCACGCTGCACTAACGTAGTATTTCCGCAAACGCTTAGTGGATCTGGAACCGTAAGTAAACCCTAAGCAATTAAAACTTATAGTCTAATCTTCAGGGTTCGGGGTAACTTTCTTTTGTAAGTGAACCACATCAAGCTTCTTTAAAAATCTAATGTTCTTCACAAATTTTGATTTGCCAAAGTACTTGTGGTTTTATGATGCTTTGACGTCAGCGATTGGTGCGCATAGGTATGCTTAAGTGCTTCTAATCTCTGGGATGTGTTTTTGAACAAAACAAACAGAACAAAACAATTATAAAAAGCCGGAAGATTCTGACGATAAATATAGAAGGTCTCTATTCCATGAAATGGGAAAGGAGGGGTGGGGGGTAAGGTGTGAAAGTGTGTGGGGAGGAGGGAAGGGGGCGATTGGGGTGGATTAGCTAGACTCTCTTTTTCTTCAGATTTAGTGAGTGGAGTAAACGCGCGCGGAAGCGTCGAGCAGACGCGAGAAACGAGGGAGGTATTCTCGCGCCTTCAGTCACGTGCAAGGTCACGCGTGTCTCGCGCTTTTCGCTCGACGGATTGGGAAAAAAAAAAGAGAGACTGCTCATAGTCTAGGGTGGAGTTGTCGCCTGTTAAATTTTCATTGATGCCTGTCTTTACCTAACGCATTTCAGGTTCGAGTTTTTGTGTCATTAAGCCATAAAGATCAGTCTTCAGTTGTTCATTCGCCTTCCGCCGTCTGGGCAGAGTCCGTTAGTACAGCTGGGTTTCAGTTATGCTCGCGTGCAACAGGGTCTACAAATGACACTGGAATTATCAACTGGGTAGCGTTTCAGGACAAACCTATGTTAACGCATGGAAGCGTTACTTTTAGCGGAATATGGACAACAGAAACGAAGTGTGAGAAGGTGGCCTTTTCTCAGGTTAGATACCAATGATTGATAACAAGTATACAATTTTGTTATAAAGGTGTAAAACGTAATTAAATAGTAGAAACAAATGAAATAGTACCAGAAAGTAGTTCTAAAACAAATGATCACTAATTAATATCCGGAATTTGCTCTTCATAGCAGAGTCAACTGCTAAAAGTCTTTTTAAGCTTTCTCTCGCCGCTTAGTTTCAAACTTTTCCTTCCATCGCCTTAAGATAAGCCATTTTCACGTTTTACTTTGGAGGTAGTGATTGAATAATGCGTGACCGTTTTGAATGTATTGATGTGTTAAAGAGAGTGTGGAAAATAGAAGTCTATTTATTTAATGATATTAAATTTTTAACATTAAACTTAACAAAGTTAGCCGAAAACGAACATTGTTGTTTGTAACTTTATTTAAGTAATGGGCCAAATAAGATGCATTCACCAACCTTTTCAACACCTCGTAGAAAGAGGTGAAAGAGGGGTAGAAAATTGAGTTAATGTGAATAGACAAGTAGATTTGATTAATCTGCTCCCCTCAGCCTTTGATAAATCCTAAATTTCATTTAAGTGTCGCTAAGTACTTCATGGATAAGTTCCTGCTGATTTATCTTTCGAGAAGCTTGTTTATTTTCAGTCAATAGTGTTAATTTCATATATCTAACATCTTTTTGCAGAGCTTTGCTTCCAAGCCTCGTGTATTTGTCTCTGTTAAGTACACTCGCAGCACAAAGCCAAATGACGCTATGTACTTATGGTTAGAGAACGTCAATTCTGGAGGATTTGAAGTGTGCTTAAGGGAATTCTTGCCCTTTGATGGACAACACCAAGATGCAGTTGTGGTAAGTGATGCAGTCATTTCTTGTTAAAGGAAATGTGGTTCGAAACCTGTCGCAACTCGTCTTGTAAAGAAAAGGGTAGCAAATTAAAATTATTTTCTTGTCCGCAGGACTGGTTTGCATTCACTGTGAATGGGAGTCAACTTAATTTCACAATAACTGGGGAAGAAATCTTTCCAAACAGTGGAAATCCATCGGCCAAAAACAACTACGGCTTCTGTCAGGTGAAAACTTTAGTTCTAACAAGAACATTTAGCAAGCCAAAGAACACTGATTTTTTAGTGGTTAAGTTCACACTAAAGAAAACTTAAAATACAGTAAACCCAAGCTTACCAGGCCATGGTAATCAACATTGTATCCAAAATGGCAATTCCCAGATGTGCGCGACATGTTTGTCTCGCGATTTTTAAATTTCGTGACTGCGCGAGAATTTTATGTTTCGACTCTCTTCAATTTCGCGTTGTAGACAGTGGGCGAATATTAGAAGTGGGGACTTAACAGAAGATGGGCAAAAATAGAGGGAGAAGTGAGCACGTTCAGATCCATTTACTAACTTACATGACTTTTTTTTACCTATTTACAGGAAGTACCTTTCAATACGACCTTTTACAAATCGCCAATTGTGATTCTTTCCGTAAATCATGAGTATAATCTTAAGGTCAAGGGAAGTCGTCCTCCAGAAAATAATATAATTTCAGCCTGGCTAGAGGTAAGTTTGCTTTTTTATTCTAACCTGAGAAAACAGCCCGCCCGACATTTCGCGCGACGCCAGCACTAGTTTTCCCACAAAATGAAGAAAACCCCGAAAACCCCGTTTCACGACGCAATTACTGGCTTTCCCGTGAAAAGACGTCTGTGGAAGAGTGCAGAAATTCCATACTGATGACGTGTACTTCCCAGATCAAGATAGGGCTTCTGATTGGTCATGCTGCAAAATAAATTTTCTTTAACCAGTCAAAAGTACTGCATGTCCAGATCTGCGTAGTGACACATCATCAGTACGCAATTTCTGCGCTCGTTCCTCAGACGTCTTTTCACGGAAAAGCCAGTAATTGCGTCATGAAACGGGGTTTTCCTCACTGGGTTATATTCTTGATGGTCACTTGAGGTTAATGATAATGAACAGGGATTCTTTCAGTGCTTTGCTACATTATTCTATTCAATTGTTTGCTTGAACTGTCATGACACCTTTGAGACCCAAAAGCCCATATCCCTTGTTCAATCAGGGGAGAGAAGAAATCCGTTTATTCTAGTAAATTTGTAAAAGGACTGTGAAAACTGTGAAAAAGCCATAAGAAAACAATAATTTGGATCTGATCCCTGAATTTCATGACTTAAAGGTATCGTCGTAGAAATCAAGCAGAAATTATGGATTTTCTAGTAACTGATGAGTGCTATCACATTTTGCTGTAGGAAGTTGGATTAGAATCTATGAAGGTCTGCGTTAAAGACCTCAGTGGATTAGGATCGAGTCATGATCCCTTGATTGTCAGCTACGCTGTTACTGGAGGTTGTTTATAATGTTCCTATTGTAATGATCACTATTTCTAGTAAGAACTATTGTTATTTTTATTATCATTATTACTATTATTTTTATTGATATCTTTTAGAAGTTCTTATATGTAGGAATACATTTCATGATATAATTAAGCAAACACTGGAGTACAAACACTGATATACCTTATTCATGTTACACTCTATCTTTGCACGAACTTTAAGATTGATTATTGATGGAATAAGAGCAATTAGAGGGCACACAAGTAATAAAATTTCCAATACTAGTAATCGAGTAATCGCGGTCGGGTTTGGTTATTCCCTCCAAAATAAGACGACGATTTTAGTCATGCAAAATGCAAAATGTAAACTTTGACAAGTTCTACGTCACAATTCCTTGCTGTGAAGATTTCTACAGTCGCATACTGTATTCAAAATCACTTCCAGCCATATTTTGCGATTTTAGTTTTTAAGGTGAAAACGTCTTAATTTCCTATTGTGTAGATAAAACAAACTCGACTGCATTCTTGTATTAACTGATTTTATCTCTTGCTTGCCCCCTGAGACACCACGTAACATTGCTTTAATTTTTTCTATCAGTCTTTAAGCGCGTGCACAGATGGCGGGTATCGTTAATAAGGTCTACTAAGGATAAAAAAAAAAAAAAAAAAAAAAAAAAAAAACAGTAGTTGAGGTACCTACAAGCAAACATGTTACTACTACTGAACAGTAATTTAGTTTTAATTGAAATATGAAAAATATACTAAACATTTATGTTTTTTTTTCCAAATGGATAACTACTCAATATCATGTTTCTTTTTTCTTGGTACAGACCTTAATCCTTGCCTTAATGTGCATTGCCCACGGTTTGGAGTCTGCAGGACCTACAGTGCTCATGACGCTCGGTGTGAGTGCGATGACCAGTGCCCCTTATATAAGGACCCAGTGTGTACTGCAAACGGAACAACTTACGATAACCGATGCTGGCGTAAGTTAAGCTATTGCAAAGGACTTGAAAATAATCCGGTTTATCACCCAGGAAGTTGTGAAGGTAACGAAAAATAATTTCAACGATTTTTTTGGCTGTATATTCCACATAAAATAGTCTGGCAGCTAAAGGTCAAATGAACCAAAAATTCGACATTTTTTCAGCTTAGTTCAATTCTAGTGAAATATGTTTAATATGAAGCGAATAAACATACTATGAAGTTTCAGCTCAATTGAAGCAAGCATCTTCGAGATATTCGCAATTAAAAATTGTTATTTTTTGGCCTTTATCTTCGTAGAGCAGTCGGAAAAATTGTCGGTAAAAACAGCTTGTGACGTCAATGTTGGTGAGGTGAAAAAAAAAAGCGGGAAATTCAAAACAGTGTTTTTCGAGTCGACTTGGCGCAGACATTGTGTGGTTTTTGCGGCCATAAACCTAGAGAGAACAAGCAACTTGTCTTCAAAAGTTGCAAGCTGCGGTTATAACCTTATTATTTAATTTTCTCGAAGAATACATCATAGTAAAACGGACTTTAACGACAGCATTAATTTCCTTGCCCTGTACATGTACTGGAAATGTGCGTGCGTAGGTCCGATTTTTTTCAAGATGTATTCACAAGATCTGTTCATATAAGGAAGTTTCTGGATATATAAGGTCCGGAGCTCCACTGTGGACACAAAAACAAAATATCCTTGCATAGTGATTTTCCCAAAGAAATTCACGCTTGCCCACAATGTGTTTGAAGTCATTGAACTTTGTCGCACTCGAGCTGATATTTTAAAACTCACGCTCGATCGGACACTTGTGCTTCGCAGAACACTAAAATATAAACAAAATCCTCAGTGTAGAAGTTTTGGCGTTGATATGTGGACAGAAAAAGAGTTAATCTTTTATCTAGTAAAATCTTCCCCAAAATCGGTTTCAAAGCAACTACCGTGACTGTTTTTTAAACTTGATCTTTTCGCGCAGATAAAGTTTGCTTTGTGTTGTCAAGTTCAACATGCATAACACCTGTCAAAAACCAAGTAAGATTTCCTTCAAACAAAGCTGAAGTTACATTGTTACAAAAACTTCTCTCCAGTTATCTATATGATTTAATTACCGACTGAGGTCACTTTAAGAACCATAGACGCCACTTTAAGCTCGCAAAGAGAGGCAACAAGCAAAGAACAATTCCATCATGCATAAAATTCAGCTTAAGTGAACTAAAAAAAGCTTCAATAAGGTTGCAAAACAACAAATTACCATTAAAAAAACATAAGGCTTAAAGCTCATATACCCGCTGACAATGAAGAAGTGAATTTTCTGTGCGAAATAACCTACCTAAAGATCTTAAAAGCAAAAGATCAGTTGCAAGCTTCGCACACAAGCCGTGATTCACCATTTCAGAGCTATTTTTAAAAACTGGTCCATGCGATGGTCTTCATTCAAGCAAATTAAACTCAGCAAACTGAATAATTAGAAAGTACCGAAAACTGCACATAAGGGTTTGTTTTGCTCGCTTCAGTCAAATCCAGCTCCAGCAATTGTTTACGGGCAAAGAGTCAATTGTTTTGAAGTCACTGCCGGCAGTTGTCGTTGTCGTTGCGTACAGAAAAAAAACAAAACTACGTAATTAAAAATAAAAAAAAAAAAAAAAAAAAAAACCTCTGACTATTATTACTTGAGCAACAGAAAAGTGACCGAAGTAGTCTGTTCTTCTCGAATAAGCTTGCTAGCCTTCTATAGTTCCGAGGAAGTTTTAAGCGCTCAAGTTTTTTCACTCTCAAGCGTTAGCATTTAATACGGTTTTGACATAAGACAAGGATAAAGCTGGTTCTGCAAAGGTAAATAAATCTGGACATGTAAAAAACTCACCGTAACTACTAATAACAGAATACAAGCGGGTTTTAATTCAGCCTGGCGAAAGAAGGCGAAGCACTGGACACAAAATCAATTCACAAATCGAATGTACAATTATCAGAAAAGTACAAGCCTCTTTGGAAATGTTCAAAACGTTCGCACCTCGTGTATTTCATTCAGTCTCAGTCAGAACTCTCACAGAACGAAACAAACAAACGCAGGCGATAAGGGATGCGCAGAAGCTTGCGCAGAACGTTTTTCCGCCTTGAAAGACTAACATTGACGTCACGTAGTCTCCAGTCCATCATGCGGCCATTTCAGAAACGTTTTCGTGAAGTCTTCGGAAATGCTCGGATTTTGATCTTTTATCTTTCTATAAAGGCTTGGGAAGAAAAATCTTTTAGGATGTTTGTTTTTAGTGTTTGGTGAAGGTAAAGCGACAAAAGAAAATATTTCAATTTTTTGGTTCATTTGACCTTTAAGCTCTCGATCAATTAGAATTATAGGTGTTGGCTCAAAATTGCATTGGCTTCTAGCTATGATGTTTATAACTTTTCGTTACTTTTAAGCTCGCTTTTAGCTCCCCACGCAGGCTAAGCAACAGTAGGCAGCTGTAACAAGCTACTTCGTCTCTCTACTTTGGCAAACAAACATATAACAGCTCAGACTATAGCCGATGTTTGATCTGTGTAAGATCTTTTACTCTCTTTTGTCTTGCAATCTAGTTTTTGTCATGTAAAATTAGATTACACAAAGTTGCTCAGGGCAAATATGGTGCAAAAAAGTGCAAAAGAGGAGGAAATTAAAGACAAAGGTAGTAAATGTAGAATTTACATACCAGTTTACACGTGTACATGTCATCACGTACGCTTTTGATTTATAATTTTTTTGTTGCCCCCCTCCAATGTACTGGCATATGTTTATCTTGGGCACTGAAAACAGCATGCAATAATACGCAGCCACTATACATTTCGTTGTTGAAAGGTAGCCGCCATTGCAAGTTACAGCCTAGGTTTAGTTCGGTATCCATTTCCACGCTTTTTTTTATCACCATCCTTCACCACTTAGAGTCGCACTACAACGCAAGCTAGGGAAGCTACCTAAGCGACAATGCTTAAAGAGCACAGTGATGCTTCCTTATAAAGTACTTAATTTATTACAAAACAGGTTTTCCAATTGTACGGGGCCGTGTAGATCTGCTACAGGTTCCAAAATGGTCAGATTCAAACTGTCAGACAGTCACATTTCCTCCATACCGGTTTTATCCGGATAAACAAGTTCATGTTCAAATAACCGTCAATCACATGAAGCTGAATGACTCTGTGACAGTCCACGACGCTGTTACTTCATGGACAGAAAGTATCAACACAAAAAACTTCACCGTCTGTGTCATGCAAACCGGTAGGAAAGAAGAAGGCGCGAATCCATTTGCCACCATTGATTGGGTGGCTTATCAAGGAGCACCGCCCGAAGGATTGACGGGAACGGTTGAGTTGCAAAAATGGTGGTCTGGTACCAACTGCGCAGATGTAACCTTTCCTACGGTGAGATGGGAATGTACATATTAAATTAAATAATTGTTGCAAATTCAATTGATGTCTCCATGACGAATGTTAGACTTTCATTCATGTGACAGCTTTAATCCATGTCTTGAAAAAAAAAATAATAACAACAACAACAAAAACAGCAAAAACAAAACAAAAAAAACAAATAAATACTAAATAATTGGAAAATTGAGTGTTGTAACCCTTAGCCAAAACATGACTGATTTAATCACGATTTGTTTGCGTAACAAAAGAAGAAAAGCATCAAGAGCGAAACTGTGAAGAAGAGACCTCCTTAACATCCATTTCAGCAAAATGAAGCGCTAATCTGATACAAGGAGACAACTTATAACAAAAAATAAAAAGCGAAATATTTATTTATCTATTTGAACTAACTGAATTTGGAAAGACAAGAATTCATATCTTAAGTTAAAGAACATATTAAAACTTTCCTTGAACTAGAAAAACAAGACACAACGTTAAGAAAAAATAATGGATCATTACGAGGTAACTGGAGAGATGATTGCTAGATCTTCTAAAATGTTGTGACCGACTTAGCGACTTAGTTAACAAGACAACATTAGATAACAAGTAAGAATGGGAACTTACTTAGTGGTTAGTTTCAAGTAATTTTGCAGCAATATTCAAAAAAAGCTGTTTCGATTGTTGTTATTGCTCTTTGTCTTCAGGGCAAGTTTGCCGAGGCGCCAATAGTCCTTGTGACCTCAGAACACCTGAGGACTGGTAAAGAGTATGATGCTGCTCTAATTTGGATTGAAGACGTAACTAAGGACTCAGTTAAAGTCTGTCTTCGTGAAATGCAAAACTTCGACGGTAGACACCAAGATATCACTGTGGTACGTTCTTAGTCAGATTTTAAAAAACTGGAAAAAAGTTTTCTATTGCTTTTATGAAATAACTTTCCCGAGAAAAAACGCAAAACTGTTTGTATGGCACTGATTAAAAGAGAAATTCTTACCAGTCGCAGTGTCTTGTCTACGAAGTCTTGCACGCGTAATCAGTTCTTGTTTTGCAAAAAGATGCTTTTCAAAATACGGATTTTTCTCGCTTAAAATGTCAGCTTAAGCGAAGAAAAATTGACACGCCTTCGTTGTAACGATTTTCCAAGTTTCAGTCGACGAAGTAGTGGGTAAATAAAGAAAACTTGTCCAGTTTTGAACTCGAAAAATTTTTCAAATTCGTGCTTGCGTAATTGCAAAACATCTTGACGCCACAACCATGTTTACATACTCTCATGCAAACACTCCTCTCAGCCAATCAGAGCGCGCGTACTATCTTAGTTATTTTCTAAATAGGGATCGTCTGGGCGATCGCGAGTGATGATCAGTAAAACGAAAGGAAATGCTGTTCTGAAAGAAAAACATAAAAAGAAACGGAAATAATAATAATAGTAATAATAATAATAATAATAATAATAATAAGAAGAAGAAGAAGAAGAAGAAGAAGAAGAAGAAGAAGAAGAAGAAGAAGAAGAAGAAGAAGAAGAAGAAGAAGAAAAAGAAATAAATTGAATAGCATTACGGGTGGTGAATTTTAAATAGCACACAAATTGGCCTGCCTTGTCCCCATGCCTCCCTTCACGCTCTTACGTGATTCGCCTGATGTCTTAAAAAATGTGGATTTGCATCCTTTCCTTGACTCTTTGCGCTCTTTGTTAGGTCACAACTTCATAGAGTTCAAAATGCTGAGTTTATTTAACTGTTTTGTCGGTGTGATACGATTCTGTCACAAGATGGGTGGCATCACTTTTGTTTTTTCCTCTTTTCACAGAACTGGTTTGCCTTCTCCAAACTGCACAAGCCTCTTTTCACTGAACATGGCGTCATAAGTTTTCCAAATACGAACCCACCTTTGGATAAAATGAACAATGCTTATTGTGAGGTGAGAAAAGAATTATTTAAAAAGCACTGAGTTGCATGCTGTTCAAAGAATTTTCCCTCACAAGTATATCGCTTACCTAAATCACTGTTTATATTTTCAAAACAATTTTAGTAATATACACTTTACGCAATAGAGATCAAAGTGACTAGAAAAGTAAAGAAGCTGGTCCACTAAACAATACTTTAAGACAAGAGTTCAAGAACTACAGACCGATAACGTCCCTCTAAGTGTTTGAGCAACTGCTCTGTAAACAGGTGACTGTGAAACTCGACCACATCTTTTCTAGCCTAAGCACTGCTTACAGAGAGGGACACAGCTGTGAGACAACTCTACTACATCTTACTGAGGACTGGACGCTAGCAATAGACAGAAAAGAGCTAGTATGTATTGTATCGACTGATATGAGTAAAGCGTTTATTTGACTCTCTGAGCCACTCGCCGACACTAACGAAGCTTGAAGCATACGGTTTTGAGTCCTCAGCGTTAGACCTCATGCGATCATTCTTTAACAACCGCCAAAATAGAGTAAGATTGGGAAATAAGGAAAGCAACTGGTATCAAATGAGCAGAGGGTCTTCCTTCAGCCCCCTGCTCTGGAACTTATTTCAGAATGACCTATCCTGCTCTATAACTTCCGCTAAACTTTCCATCTATGTGGACGACCACCAGTTGTACACCTCAGGAACTAGTTTTACAGCTGTAAGGGAAGCCTTAGAGCAGGAAGGTCAACTTGCGGCGTCTTGGTATCGTGATAACTTTCTACTCGCAAATCCTGACAAATTCCAGGCGATGATCCTTTATCCTAGAAGAAGAGATGGTAGGGTCATTACAAACACAGATTACATCAAACTACTTGGCGTCCACATTGATTGCAGTATGAACTTCAGTGGTCATATTAGCGAACTGTGTAAGAAAGTCAGTAAGAAGGTAGGGATCCTAATGCGCCTGCGCAGTCTTGTTCCCTGCTCAGCTATAAGTCTTCTATAAGTCTTCCATCCTGCCTTACCTTACCAACTGCCAGCTGGTATGGCACTTCTGTAAGGCCTCCAACAGGAGAAAAATAGAACGTCTTCAAGAACGTGCCTTAAGAGCGGTATACTGAACTAAGTCTGCCTCTTACCAGACACTACCAAAATATCATCAGGACTTCTCAGGTTGCAAAATCGTAGATTGCAGGATATAGCTATACTTATGTACAAAGTCAAGAACAACCTCGCTCCTACCGACGTGGCATAACTTTTTAATTTAAATAATTCGAGGTATTCTCTGCGAAACATGGAGTTTCATCTACCTACTAGATTCCTACTACGGCAAACATTAATTTCGTTACTTTGGACCTTTACTATGGAAGAGACTAAACAACAAGGTCAAGTAATCACTTAGTCTTCAGTCTTTCAAGAAAGCTATCAGAAATTTAGATATTTCTGGTATTTTTTTCATTTTATTTTATTTTATTAACGTCGACCAAAAAACAAACAAACAAACAAACAAACAGAAATAACGTTGGCAGGGACACCGCAACAGCTGTGGCCAATTACAGTGGGCCTGGATACTAACTGAATAAAAAAAATAAAAACAAGAAATATTAAAAAACACAGCGATACAAGAAAAACTACAGCTACATACAACCAGTTACTGGACGAGACAGGGGACGAGCACTGTTACATTTTAAACAGATAGACTTGAACGAACGTGGGTCTTCACAATCATAAGAAACAGCTAAAGCGGACTTATAATAATTAAAAATAACCGATTTAAAGGAAGCTAAGGTCGGTGAGCTGAAATCTAGTTCATCCACTAAACAATTCCAAATTCCACTGGTTGTAATGAGAAAGGATTTCTGGTACGTAATAGTTTTACATTTCTTAATTATGTATTTACATTGCTGGTTGAGGATCTAGTGCGTCTACCGTGTTTGCGAACTTCAGGTAGGACGGAGGAGTTCACGTTAACAAGACCGTGTGTGAATTTGAAAAAAAACAGGTTAAATCTAAAAGTTCATGCCAGTAACAAATAGGTATTAGGTTTAGATTTTGTAAACGAGATTTATAACTTACATTAGAAGTATAAGGTAGTTTTAACATAAACTTAGTCGCGCGTCTTTGGATACGCTCAAGCTTGACAATGAGCTTGCTGGACTGCGGGGCCCAAATTTGGGTGGCATATCCCAAATGTGGCCTAACTAGGGCTAGGTATAGCGTCCGTCTTACGTCGGTTCTAAGTATGAACCTGGTGTTCCTCTTTAAGTATCCAATTAGTTTATGAGCACGCGAAAATTGTTCGTTTACTTGTTTGTACCATGTCAGATCCTTAGTAATTCATACGCCCAGATCTTTTTCTGCAGAATATAATTCAAGTGCGGTGTTGTACACTTTGTAAGAGGATAAGGTCGGCTTTGGTTTCCTTGTTATGTGCTGCGCCTTATACTTAGCTTCGTTAAAAAGGAGACCGGATGATTGAGACCAAGTTGCAAGCTTACCAAGGTCTTTCTGGAGAGAAGAGGCAGCCCCCAAAGTCTTTATCTTTCTGAATATTCTTGTGTCGTCAGCGAACATCAATACTCGACTGCTAGAACTGATGACTTCGGGAAGGTTATTGACGTATAAGAGGAAGAGGGCTGGTCCGAGTATGGAACCCTGAGGTACTCTAGAGGTAGCAGGAAGATCCTCTGAAGTGGTGCCGGTTACCGTAACGCGTTGGCGTCGACATGACAGGTAAGAGCAGAACCAGTTAAGCAGGCTGCCACCAAAACCGGCCTGGATTAGCTTATGGACGAGACGTCTGTGACTGACTTTGTAGAAAGCTTTTGACATATCAAGGTAGATGGTGTCAACCTGGCTGCCACTATCTAAAAGTGAACCAGTGTGGTCAAAAGCCTCGAGCAGGTTGGTGACGCACGATCTTCCAGTACAAAAACCATGTTCTTTAGGTGAAATTACATGGTACAGGTGGTCCATGACACTGTTCAACGCAAAACGCTCAAAGACCTTGGACACTATTGGAAATAGAGAGATGGGGCGGTAATTTTCCACGTGGTCTTTCGCACCCTTTTTGTGGAAAGGCACGACGTTAGCTAGTTTCCAGTCACTCGGGAGAGACCCTAGTTGCAGTGATTTGTTGAAGATCTTACATAAGGAAGGAGCAATCACTGAGGCAATCTCTTTAAGCAATTTGCAGGGATTTCGTCCGGCCCTGTGGCTTTACTGACTTCTGGTGCTTTCAGTGCAGCTAGAACCGTGGACTCATTGAAAATTAGATCGGATATAACAGTGCCCAAACGTTTGCACGCTGTCTTCTCCACTGCGCTGTCGATAGTAAATACAGAGGCAAAAAAACTGTTAAACAGGTCAGCTATTCCCGCAGGTGTATCAGCACTTACTCTTAAAGGGTTTTGTGACTGGTCAAAGAAGAGTCTGGGACGGTTACCAAGGAGACATGGCCTAGGATAGGATAAGATTAGAGTTAAGCTTCAAATTGACCATAAGCGCTTGGGATTGAATCTAAAGCCAGTGTCAATAGAGCCGTAAAAGTGATCACGGCTTTCGCGAAGCAGTTTCTTGACTTGCGCCCGCAGAGACTTAAACTTATCCTTCAGGCCGGCGTTCGGATGTGACTTAAGTTTTTGGCGAACTGAGTTCTTTTTCTTGATTACATTTGAAATGTTACTATCTATCCAAGGGACCTGGTTACGGCCTTTCAGTCTCTTCGATGGCACGAAGTCCTTGACAACGGCTAGGAATAAGTCCTTCCAGCACCGCCAGTCATCATCTATATTGTTATGGCCCACAATAGAAGAAAGATTGATTGCCGAGAGCACTTCACGCAAACCTTCAAAATCGCCATTTGCGTAGTCGTAGACAAATTTGCGCGGGTGTGAGGACGCATTAACAAAAGAATTGTACTCAAACAGGACTACACAATGTTCCGTAAAAACACCGGCTTTATCAGGTGACAACGCCTCGGTCACTTTGGTGTGATCTGGGGCACTTCTTATCACTAGATCAAGAATGTTACTACCTCGAGTCGGTGTGTGGTTAGTTTGCGTCAAGAAATGGTCATGCAACGCCTCGATAAATGGCAGATCGTTAGCACCTTAAGCGCTATCTACGGAGTCCCAGAATACTAATGTAATCTTCTGATCAAATTTAGGAGAAAATAACTGTGACGGTTATGACCTTTGCAGATCCTAATTTTATGATTTTAAGATCTTAAGATTTTAATATGTATTATTATGAATTACTATGTATTTTAGATTAGTGTGCCCAATTAGAACATATCATTATAATTAGTATTATCATAGATTATTATTATTATTATTATTATTATTATTATTATCTAATTTTAGATAAGTGTCCCCAGTTAGCCATATACGTTTGACACTTAAATAAAGTTCTCATGTCTTATTGTATTGTTATAAGACCATATCAAAATATCAAAATGGCAGTTTGTTCTGTTAAAATGATTAATCGCAAATATTGCTTGTTCAATTGTGACTTCCAAAATAAACACAATGACGGGAACTGAAGCTTTTAGTGATTAGGGAATAGTGTTAAACGTTTTACGTTTCTCTTCCATGGCAGTTCGTTTCATTCACAAGAGCTTATAACTCGACTCCGACAGTTCTTGTCTCAGCCAATCACAGTACGACGGTATCTGGGAATTCAGCACCGATTCACAACGGAATTACAACTTGGATCGAGGTAAAATATTCCGTAATTGGGCGGGATTGTGAGGATGTATCAAGGCAAACAAACTTCAAACCAAAACTCAACGAAAGATATAACTGAACAGAGACACACGCTGGCTTGAGGCGATGTATAGGTCGATATTAGGTGTGGCGCAAAAATGTGCCGAGTGAAGTTGAGATTGCTTATTGGCTTCCTTTTGACGTTAATTATTGAATTCGATCATGGTGTCGGTACAAAATAACATCTTTAAATTATCAGCAGGCGCCGCGCGCCGTGGTCTCGAACTTCAGGTTTCAACGTTACTTTGGAGCTGTTTCCTTGGCCACGAAACTTTGCTTCAATTATTTGGCTGCTTTCTTCATCAACAGGGATACTTAGCTCCGTCCTTCTGGGCCTCATAGCTCATTTGTGCCAGTGCCGTGCCCCTTATTAGGGTAAAAAGGATATTTTGAATAAAATTTCGAACCTTTATTCACCATATAAGTCTTTAATTTTTTATACCTTTGTTATTTCTAAAGCTTCTTTTGATTTTCTAGCGCTCGTTAATTACTTTCATCAAACCACAGTGTTAATTCACGGCGAATCTTCGCATCTCTATGTTACATATTAAGAAGACGTAGGAGAACGTTTTAAAAATATTCTGGTATTCTCTTCCTGTTAATTCAGTTGTTTATGACTACAATTTTAGCTGAACTAAACTACTTTGAGCGCTTATTATTATTATTTTTTCAGAACATGAATACCTCTGGATTCAGAGCCTGTGTCAAGGAATTATACGGGACTAGATATGACCCCTTATCCGTCGGTTATGCCGTGCTCACAGGTCTGTAATACTACTGAGTTCATTTATGAAGTAGTTTTTAGCAAATGAAAAAAGAAACGTTATTTGTTACCGGATTCATCTGGAAATACTTTGGAAATGCCCTAAACTAATAACACAATGCAAGTTGATGGCTTTGCAAGTCATGGCGGAGTCAAGAGAGTGTACCCGTTGACATAAAAAAGATTCTTGAAATTCTTTCAAGTTACAATTTTCCTACCCCTCGAAGAATTTCACCGTTTAATTAAAAGTTTTCTTAAAGGA